CCCAAGTGTACAGGCCTGCATGTGAAAATAATGTATGTGAAATATGGATTTTGGCCAGTAGATGCCAACCTCTTCCAGAGAGCGCGATGTCCCAGCTTGTCTGAGCGCAGTACTGCATGTGCACCTGAGAGGTACCTTTGCATAATTCTCTGTTGGTATCCGAGCCCCCTGCGTAGAATAATTTGGGTTGTACGTAGTCTTCCTGGATTTTCAAACAACATGATCCAGCATATGAAGCAGTAGAAAAACAAGCATAAGGATACCCCGTGGTGGTCATATCTTGAGTGCATGACATCTTCATGTTCTTTTAATCTGGTAGCTCATTTATTATGAAATGTGTCTCTCAAGAAAAAAAAAAAGTTTCCTCAGCTTGTGGGGAGACAACGATGCTCCAAGTTGTTCTGCAAAATGCTCTCTCTCACAAATAAAAATATGAAACAGCCTTGATGTGGCCTGCTGGAAATGGACCTGTGGAGAGCCAAATTCCATCCCTGGCAGCGCTGTGTCTGTTTACTGTAGTGAATGTATTGAGTTTGTTAAGCTGGATGTCTTTTCAGCGGAGATGAAAATTCTCATTTACGAAGTTGCCCTGAAGGACAGAGAGAGAAGGTATGATTTTGCATTCAGTGTGATGGCTGCATATAAGCAGAGACAAGAGCATCACGCAGCTCATATTGAATATGAACAGAAAGAGGGACAGCGTGGCCAGCGTCTGACAGGGTGCAGGCAGTGGTGAGGAGCTCTCTTCCACCAGCTCATGGACCCTGCACCGTCCTGGCGGAGAATGCTGGCTGCTTGCCCTGTGGTCTTAAACTCCCTGTGGGGAGAGAGGGGATAGGGCCAGGGTCCCGCTTTCTGATCACGTGCAACAGGTAGAAGGAGGGGGGAGCATGCTTTTCACCCTTGTTACCTTGGTTTATGCGCTGGGCTAGTACGTGTGGCCTGACAGCCCCCAGTGGGAGTTCACTTTCAGGATGCTAGCTGCAGCCTCGCCACTCCATGCTTCCCACAGTGAACCACATAGTACCAGAGGTTTCTACTCTGCAAGGTGCCAGGCAGTCTTTGTTGGCAGCACCTGACATGGCTAAGGCCCCCCAGGCATTGTGTAACTCATGCATTAGTCTAAGTGAGATTCAAAACCCTTGGAGGGAAGCCCTCTGCCATTTTATGAAGGGCTTTCCATCCGATATGCAAAATTTAAACCTTTAACAGAGAAAACCATACATGGCTAGCAGCTCCATTAAAAAATGGACTCTTTAGATGCTGTTGAACTCTTTCTTATGCCTCATTTAACCTGGTCCTTCCTAAATTCACTCCTTGCTGTAGTGTTTCCACTTGTGCCAGAAGTGTTTTGTTTGGGGCGGTCGGTGTGTAGGATGACTGTGCCCTCTGTGAATCAAGCAGCCCACAAGGCCAGCCTTATTTCTTGCTATTCTGAAAATCTGCTTCCTTTTGTAACTTGAGGAGTTTGGCAGCACACTATTACTGTACACTCCAGAGTGGGATTTGATTATTTTTCACAGCAAGTCTCAAAGCCACCATTAGACAGGAGAGACCTATAGGTACTACAGACCCCCTCCCCCCTGTAATTCAGCTAGATAGAATAAAAAAGCACCAGGTCATCGGTTTTCTGCTTCCTGGGAGTTCCTGTTATTGAAGCATGGGATCCAGGCTTTATTTCCAACGTCATTAACCTTGCACTGGAACTGTTTATTATCTCTGACTATGGCAGCAAATGCTGTCTCCTGTCCTGCTGGTGCATCGCTAGGCTTTCCGATTATCTGCTTCCCTGACTTCTGTGTTTTTAATCCACATCGCTTAATAGTCCTTGCAGACCATTGAGCTTTTTTTGACGTTTGGGTTCAATTTTTGCTTTTCTGATTTTACTTTGAAAAGTAGGTATTTACCTTCATGCTGCAGGGATTAACAAACTTCCTTCGTCACCAATAGAAGCACCTGGCTTCATTTACCATATCTGTCCTTTCCTCCCCTGTTACCTGCCCATCTGTTTGTTCCAGTTTTTTAGGTTGTAAGCCTTTTGGGGCAGGAACTGGCATATGTTGTTCAGTCAATGGCACTTGGGGGTTTCATGCTGATTCGGGCCTCTACGTGTCCCTTTTGGAGAGGTGCAAGTACTGGCATTTTTTCTGCATTTGATCACTGTTGTGAGGCCATGTTGGGGAGGAACAGATTTAAAATGACATTTTAAAATAAGATGAAGGTCATTTGGCATACAAGGAGAATGAAGGTGTTCATGGCATAGGAGCTACAAGGTGAACAGGAGGCCACAGCCCCATTTGGAAGTAGCAAAAGGAACAGTTGACAGAGTAGAAGGAAATGGGCATGAAAGTGAAGGCAGGAGAGAGAACTGTCCAAAGCCTCAGGCATGAGAATCAGAAATGCTTGAGCCTAAAGAAGGTGAAAAGAGGAAGCAAAGCCAGGTTAGGTATTTTGGGAGGTTGAGTGGGACAGTCAGAGTGGCCGGCATGGACTGGTGGTGATGTCCTGCATATGGAAAAGTGGAGCAAAAGGACCTGACCTGGAGAGAGTCTAAAGAGGCCGGGGTCAACTGCTAATATCTTCTGCTTTGTACCACGGGCACAACTAAACTTATCCTTTCCTTTTACAGGTAGCCGTGACTTGACAGGTTGTCATCTGCCACTTGTGGCAATGGCCAATTTTTTTTCCATTCTGGCATTGTAGGGCTTATGCTTGGATCTATTTAACCTAATAGAAGCCCATAGCTATGATAATTAAGCCTTATTCATAGCTAGATGGTGGTCCCTCCGGGTCAGGCAGTCAGCTGTCCATGATTCCATTTAAAAAACGTAAGAAAAGCCATTTTGTTGTTAGGGATGTCTGCTGCATTTGTTTGTTAATTAAGTCGTGAGGTTGCAGTGCCATCACCGGAGGGCAGGGTGGCTTATTCTACACTCGCGCTGGGCAGGTTTCGCCTCTTGGTCAGAAATATTTGCTTAGGTAAAGAGCGCAGGCTGCACCTCTGACTAGACCACCTAAAAACATCCTTGTGTATTTTAATCAGGATGATAAACCTACCCAATTAAAATCACCACTAACGATTTGCTGATAGCTGCTAAAAAGAAATAGAGTTTACTAGTTGAAGGCCATAATAATAATTATTTTTCACGGAAAAGAGCCCAGCAGCACAACGAAAAAAAGGGCATCTTAATATACTCAGGCTCTTAAGCTACTAGAACAGCTTGATTTTTTTAAACTTGGTCAAGTTCTGGATTTGTTACAACTGCAAGAGAGAGATCTTTTGGGAGTCTGAATCTGCCATAAACCTAATGGAAAAAATGATGTTGGGCAGTAAGGCTTGGATGGCAAATAGAGCTATTCCAAGATCTGGACCCCAATCTCCAGCCTGCAGGGCCCAGCTCGGGAGTGCAGCACTCTTTGCTCCATCAGTAGATGAAGCTAAAGGATGAAAATACTTTCTTAGGAGTTGCCTGTTCACTCACTCCCTGTGCGTTTTAACCACCGTGCTGCTCCACCAAACGCAGGCACCGCCAGCAAATCCTCTAGCTGTCTTTCAAAAAGAACGATTGTTGCTCAGGCCTTTCAAGGGTTGCTTGTTGGCACCTACCCTCAGGAGGGGGTTTCAAGCTCTGAATCCTGAGCGGAGCCCGGTGACTCTCTTGGAGCCCTGCTCAAGCCCCTAAGCTCTGGAGAGGGTTGGGATATCAGATGTGCTGTGCTGTTTAGCGGTTGCTAATCATGTCCCTATATAAATGCATTTGCAAGATGTGGGTGGAAGGTTTCTTTGGCCTTCATGTTATGTGAAACTGCTTGACTTGGAAAGGACAGAGCAGGCAGCAAGGAGGTAGGATTTTCAAGCAAGACGAGCAGTGGTCTTAGACTAGATGTTGACAGAAGTAGGAGCCTCGAACCAGGAGTGAAACGAATTGTCTCCCGTTGCCTGATTTCTGCTGCGTTCAGGGAAATGGGACCTTACAAGCATTGTTTCTTGCCGTCCTGTTTAATATGCGAGCATCTGGCTCCACGCGCCTAACTGGAACCACCTCCGAGACCGTGATTTTGACCTACCGCTTGGATCAGAGTCATGTTATTGTATTGTTTGGGATTGGTTTTAAGTATTACCACATTGTGGCCTTCCCTCTGGTGTCCATTGCTTCATCTTTTGCACTGTAGCACCTTGGTTAATTCTGACTGGATAAATACTCCAGAAATCTCAGTCTTGATGGCACAAGCTGGAGCCTGCTAAGTCTGTGACTTGGAAAGGAAGTCTTTATTTGTCCCGACAAGAAGTGAGGATAAGTGGAAGTGGCTTCCTTTATTTGCTTGAGGCATACTGCAGGTTGCTTTTATGTTAGATCTGTTTTCATCAGCCATCAAAGACGGGACTGAAAGCAGACAGTTAATTTTTTGTGTATTTAATTCTGACTTTATTTCTTCCATGGCACACTTTCTGCTTTTTCTGATCTGGGAAAGGTAGTTACTTTATTCTATTAAACCTTGTATGTATTAATATAAATTGTGATCGAGGGCTTGGCTGGATACTACTTAAGCTTTTGTACAACCATATATTGTACAAAAATAGTAAAATAAATCAAAAGATTTTATGATCACGGAGAGGGAGACTGACAGAACCCAGATATGACTTTGTGTCCTGGCTAAAGGAATGAAGCTAAGTGGCTAATAATGAAACGTTAACAAAAATAATGAATGCGTTTGGAACCATGCTTTTTTTCCCTTTTTCCTTCTTTTTTCTTTCTTTTCTTTTCTTTTTTTTAAAGAATGGGGCATTTATGGAAAATCTGATCAGGAAAAGCTGAGAACATGGAAGTCCTCCATTAAAAAAGAGGTGCCAACGGAGGGGAAGGAAGTGCAAGGAGCCTTGGCGGGCTCAAAGGGCATTGCTCGTTCCTCATCCAGTTGTGTCATGATCTCACTGGGAGGATCTTTCTCTGAAAATAATGCAGTGCAAATTCCCTAATTGTCTGCATCGTCTCTTGCAGGCCCTGACGATCAACATTGATCATGTCGTTCCGGTTTGGACAACACCTCATCAAGCCCTCCGTTGTGTTTCTGAAGACCGAATTGTCCTTCGCTCTCGTAAACAGGAAGCCAGTGGTCCCGGGACGTATCCTTTGATTAAAGCTGCCGAAACGGATGCGTTACGGTGTCCCGACATCCTCTCAAAGAGTAGGGGAAGCTCGGCTGACTCGGAAGACCAGGTAAGTTGTTACTCGTATTTATTCTGAAATCAGTCGGTGGAACGTAATATGCTTGATCAGTGTTGCAGAACTTCTGAAACCGGTTGCCTAGCAACCGTGACCTTAGAGGTGAATTTTCTACTGACCTTTTCACTACAGAAGATGTATAAATAAACAGGTGCTTCTAAAAGGATTTTCAAGTGATTCTGAGATGGTACTGTTTAAATTCCACATTATGCTGAATAACACATCCTATTTCCCGTGGTTAGTACTGTCACTTATTTTTAGATGCAAGGAAACACTTTACAGAGCATTTTCGACGTATTTTCCTGGAGTTTAAATGTACAATATTTGTCAAATGGTGGTAAAGTCTGTTCGGGTGACTCTTTAAAAGATGCATTGTTTTCCAAGCAACACATCTTGCTTCTATGCATTTTGGATAGGAAGGAATTAAGTAGACCACCTACATAAGCATGCATGCTTGCGGAGAAAAATTAGATCCAGGGTTGAATGCAAGACCCATCTATCCATGGAGATGCACTGGGAATTGTACTGTTGCATGGGAGACTTCACACATTGCTTCCATGCAGGGTTTAGGAGGCAGGTGCTCAGCGCTTCATGGGTGCACCGTTTTGTGCGCAACTTGGCTTAATCTATTGTACATTAAGAGTAGGGTTTTCAAAAGTGCTTGGCACTTGTCCATGCCCTTTCCATGGGAGTCAGCAGTAACAGGGTTATGGGAACAGAGCTAGACCGTGGCTGGATGTTTTGGAAAACCCATCTGAATGTTGATAATGGTTAGTGAATCACGCACCGTTATTTATTTAATTTTTTTTTGATGTCAAAGTGTTCCCAGTGTGCTTTGAGGATCCGATAGCCTGCGTGCTTTAGTATTGGAGACTGAATTCCTCTCCAGCCTTCCTCCCCCACCCCACTGAGTAAAATTCCCCTTTAAATAAAATAATCTTCCTCATATGCCTTTTTTGAGTGCTGGGTATTCATTAAGGTTTTATGGCAAAATATAAAAAGCTATAAGAGTTTATAAAAACTGCACAAATATACTGCCCATAGTATAACAGCATTAAAAAGTATTAAGTGAGAAGTTCTTGTTATTTTTAATACTCAGCAATCCCATATAAAGTAACATATGTGCTCTCTCCGATTCAAATGAAAATGTTGTTGCTTCAGCCACTTTGTGAAACGTGGATCCAGCCCGTACCTAGATACACAGGATGGTATACGGATTGTCCCCGGTGATTGTAATTAAGATTTATAGTTACTGTATGTTGAAGTATTAAAACCATGATTGATGACTTTGTCAATTAACCAGCAAATTGAATTATTACATTTGATTGTTAAATAAAAAAGATGAAAAATATTTATTTTAAAGTTTTCTGGGGAATCTAGAAGTAAAGGTTTAAGAAGCCTATAAAACTTAATTATTACAAGCTTCTTTCCTTCTTAAATAATTAAAGATCTATAAACTTTAGTTGTATAGTTACTGCTTTCTGTTTGGCGGATACATGTACTTGCTCAGGTTTAGCTTAGTTGCCCCATAATGAGTTTGCAGCACATTTTATAGTGGCACATTGTTTTAATGGCTCATGTGGTGTAATATATAATATAGTCTTTGTTTTCTGTTGAACAAATGTTCAGGTAATAAAAACAAAAACCCAGCCCTTTCTCACTCTCATTATAATAATAAAAAAACCCAGGAAAAGTTCATGATGCTAAGGATAGAATACAGTATGTAAAGTAGAGCAATTTGCAGTTTTAAGTCCATAAAATGCCTGTATAATGCAGCATTCATCTCAAGACCTGGCAGTAACAAGTGTATTTTCTTTGCTTTATTGCAATAATTTTATCTGCCTTGTCTTTGGCACACTTATGACATTCCTTTTCATTTTTGTTTTTTCAGTAGAAAATAAAATATTAATGCATGTGAATTAGAGAGACAAAGGAAATCAGTTTGAAAGCCAGCTCACTCCAGGTGGTGGCTTTAATTAACTTGTAAGGTTGAAATTCCATCTTTAAAAGGAACATAGGATGGGAGTCTTGAATTTGCTGTAATTGTTCTTAAAATACAGTGTGCTCTGAGAAGTGTTGCTATGAAAATGGAGTTCAGTATTTGCATCTCAGTCACTCCACATAGTATTTGCCCAGTTCATAAATAAAAAGATGTCCCCCCCGCCGCTGATATCCCTAAAAAACAAGCTATGGTCTATCTTGGGTTGATCCCGGGAGGAGTATGCCTCCTTGGTTTCCCCAACTTTTGTGAGGCTTCAGCAACTTGGGGGCTTGAATGCATTTGTCTCATAATTCCCTTGGAAGGGGAGTGACTACTTTGTAGGTTCTTCCCAATACTGTGGTATTGGGCCAGGAAAACTGGGTCTAAAACAATGATGTCCTACTGCCCAAACTGCCATAGGTAACTTTATCTTGAGATCCATAACCAACTTTTAAGCCTTTTTGTGGGTGAGGCAATAAAGGGCCATGGCGCCCTTACTTTGTTAGCAGCTTGCACGCCATTCTTGTGCAATAGCACGTTAAAGGGTGCCATGTATTTTCCACAAACCATGCAACTCGGTCTCTGGCCCATGTTGAGCTGGGTAGGGCCAAAGCTGCACCCATTCCCCAGCTTCTTTGGCACCTCAACCTTCTCAAGCACCAAGGGAATACACATGCGTCTTACCCATGCACGAGGTTGCAAGAGGAAGCCAGGGCTTCCTGTGTGCTCTGCCTTCTCAACTAGGCACCTTCCTCATCTCTTGTGAACATCCCCTAGTTCTTTATTGTTGGTGTGAATGGGTCTTAATACTGCCTGCTGAGGATGGTCATATGGTGCCTGTGCATCAACATTAAGTGGGATCTTGTACTTCCCAAGAGCTCAGTAAGAAAGAAGAGATTTGCACAGCCCCCCAGCTGAAATCTCAAGCTGTTTGGATGCTCTTTGGAGATCCAGTTTCTAGGGTCTCAGAGGATGGTGTATCCCTAAGTCCAATGGCAAACACAGGCTATGTCAGAGACCCAGAAGCAAGTCTGCAAACCTGTATAGATCATCAGCCCTGTTCTTTAATTGAAATGAGTACCATCATAACATTAACCTGTGGAAAAGAGGGGAGAAAGGTAAAAGGAAGGCTTTGCTGCCCTAGAGGTATGCTTAATGGGTGTCGGTTTAAATCATCGTTTGTAATCCGCGGTGTTTAGAGGATGTGTGGGAATTGAAGTGCAAGAACAGCATTGGGATGTTTCGATGGTCAGGGAAATAAATGCACATGCAGCATTTAAAGTGTGCAACACTTCTTAAGAACCAAGCCTGTTTTTTATTTATTCTCAGTTTATTTAATTCAGATTCTCACTGATACCATAGTTTAGAAGCTCACACAATTCTTTTGTTAATTAAATCCACCTGCTCATTACTAGTAGGCATTTTCTGTTGTACAGTTTTACCGATACAACTATTCTGAAGGGGTTCTACCATTTTCTTTGAAGTTTTACCATCCATGTAACACAGTTTGCTCACATCTTCAGTAAATTTAAATCAACTTTTTGTTGTTGTTGCTGTGGCTTCTCATTTCATTGTACTGTGCTCTTTGCTTTCATCTTGTGTTAAGCATGAAAAATGAATTTGAACATTAGTGGAATCCATTTGGGGACTAGGACTTTTATTGTAAATAAAATTATTCATTTGTTATGTCCTATTGTTTTCAGCAGAGAAAGTATTGATCTTTGGATATCTGTTTGGGATGCCATAAGGAGTGCTAGCATAAAAGGAACACAGCAACATTTGTAAATTGATTGAATGCAGTATGTAACGACAGAGACAAACATCAGTTCTATGGCAATACTATATTACACAAAGCATTTTTCAGCAGTTTATTGAATTGGTTATTAAAAGGAGCAGGCTTTCCAACATGGAACAATATGCTCAGTGCTATCAGTGTGAAGCAATTCATTGAGGACACACTGACCTTTACACCAAAAAAAAGTGTGTATCTATGTGCATGTGTGTGCGCACATATAAAATTAGAATACGTCTTTTATAAGACTTTTCAGCCAATGTTTGTTGTAAAGAAAAGTTTTCGGCATCCAGAATGATGCTGCAATTTGACTGCTCCAGATGTAAGCAGCTGCTCTGGACTCTACAGAGGATTTCAGCAAATGGTATGCCTGATTGTTGGAAGCTGTGCAATGCAAGTCTGATGTATCTGGGGTTTCCTGGTCAATTCATTTCCACCTGGAGTTAATGGTCCAGTTGTTCATTGCTCTGGACAGGTCATGGGCAGAGGGCGATTGTAACTGAAGAAAGAAGAGGTTAGTTGAAGCAGATGTCCCCACGGCTGTGGAGGCAGGCTGCTCTGGGATCACATCTGGAGATCGTCAGCACCTCCTGGACATTGCGGTGCATACTGGGCTGCAGCTAACTGGTCACTTTTGAAGGTTCATATCATTCAATGTGGTTCATATTATTCAGCTGAAAGGCTGTGATGCTAAGGATAGAATATAGTATGTACAAACAAACAAGCAGTGCCCCCCCCTGCAAATTGCTTTACTTTACATGCTGTATTCTGTGTTTTGCATAATGATCTTTCAGTGTGGTCCAGATCATTGAATTGTCATTGCAGTAGGCATTTCTGCTGTCTGGAGGCTGACGTGGTTCTCACGTGTCTCTGTGTTTCAGCCGAACTAGGACTTCACCTCGGCTCCGCAGGGAACTTCTGTTCCAAGCCCAGCAGCTTGGACTTAGTATGGGGCTACGATTTGATTTTAGTACAGAGATTCATCATCTGAATGATGCTGCCACTGCTGTACTGGGCATTTTGGTGGAACTAATTAATGCCGGGCACATCTCCAGGGAGTTAAAGGGTCAGGCCACATAAACCCCAGATGCCTGAACGCTTACACAAGCCAGCAGAATATGCAAACT